CATAAATGATAAAAAAATAGAGGATGAAAATAATAATAAAAATAACAATCCTATTGTAAGCAGAGAGAGAGAGAGAGTAGTCTCACTCAACAAGCACAATTACTCTCTCAAATCACCACCTTAGAACAAATTCCCACTAAAACCCCCCAGCAACAAGCAGATTTAGCAGCCAAAAAGAAGAGATTAGCGGAATTATTAAAAAAAAAACAGGATAGTTCTCATACTAATAATGCTAAACCTAGTGATAAAACTGTTCTTATTATTGGTTGTGGAATAGTAGGAATAGTTTTAATTGGTTTAGTACTCATCTTAGTGAGAAAAAATAAAAAAAACAAATATTAAATTGCCTATGGTCAGAACTAGTAAATAGCAAATTAGCATAATTTAAAAATCAATTGCTACCTAGTTTGCTATGAATTGGATTAAGTTCCTAGTGGTGATTGGAAAAATATAATTTTAAACATAAATAATCATAAAATATGGTATTAATCAAAAAAATAGTTACAGACGAACATTACGAAAAAATAAAAGAAGAAATTAGTAAAAAAGCTAGCACTTATACGATGGGAGGAACTAAATGAGAAATGGATAGAGAAAATGGAATTCAAGTTTTTCAGACAGAACCAAACGAAGAAGTTAGTCTTGCTGTCACCAAAGTGAAAACTAAATCATATGCCACTTTCATTGCTGGACTTGCCTCAGATTCATATAATATCCCCAAAGAATGCTACAATCTTTGAATATTCACTATTAGTAAATCGGGCAAAGGATATGAAGATATTATGGTTACAAAAGCGTATGCAAATGAATCATTATGAGAAGGAACTTTTTCTAAAGATACTATTGAAAGATGCAGAAACGATGTCATAACAAAACTAGAAAAGTCGGCTGAGGAAAAAGACCAATTAAAAAAAGAATTATTAGAAGAAAAGAAAAATACGGATAATCTTCGTAATGAAAAACAAAAGTTAGAAATGAAACTAAAAGCAGTTGAATTGCATTTAAAAAAATATAAGGAAATGATGGAAGGAGCAGTGAATGACTGCAAAACAATAGTAATCAGAGAGGAAAGTAAAACAAAAAAGGAAAAGTACCAGAGAATACAAGAAGTATATGAGGCAAAAATTGAACAAGTTGACAATACAATAAATAATTGGAAATAGCACTATGAAAAAAATTGAAGTAAATGGTTCTTTTGTGCCAACTCCGGTAAAATTAAAATGGAAAGCAGAAAAATACGGTGCTGAAAATACTGATACTAAACTGGTAGAGACTGTAAAGATAGCACCGACTATGCCATCTCAATGGCACGATGCACTAAAAGAAAAAAACAGATTCAAAGAAAATTATGATGTAGGTGAAATTGATTATAATAGGGTATATCGCGAAAAATCTTCTTCATGAAAAAAAATAAAAAATAAGTCATTATTAATAGAAGATTTGCCAATTAGGCTTTACGACCTAGAAAAAGAAAAAATAATAGAAATTGGAAAAGGTACTAATATAAACGATTATGTTATTCTTTCCTACTATTGAGGTGGAGAGGGAAGCAAAGAGTTAAAATGGAGTGTTAATAATGCTAATGATAAATTAAGTTTGGGTGGCAAAAAATCCTTGGCAAAGGCCAAAGATGCTTGCTATCATTTAAAAATTGATTACTTATGAGTTGATCAATTATGCATTAATCAAGATGATCCGCAAGAAAAAAATCAGGAAGTTCCAAAAATGCGTCAATATTATGGTAATGCTACTGTGACATTGGTAGCTATACATACAAATATTCTCGATGATGATAATAAGGAATTGTCGCCTTCACCCGATGACGTAGTAAAGAAAATAATTAGTTCTCCATGGTTTTCTCGTTCTTGAACTTATCAGGAAGGATGGTTAAGTAAACAAACTCTCTTTATGTTTGACGATGCTTTAGTAGATGGAAGAGACTTAGCGCAGTTTTGAGCGTCACATCAACCACTACTTACTAGAAGATTAACAGGAGAATACAAAGAAGATTTAGTAAAAATTGCTACTCCTATTGGTTGAGTATACTATCAAGATGGCTATGATTTAGAAAAAGATAAAAAAGTAGACATAAACTTGAGCGAAGTATTAAGAGAGATCAAAAATCGTGGTCGTGGCATTTCAATAGATGGTATTTATTCTATCTTGGGGTTACTGCCTTATGGTGATAAAGTAGTGCCTGAATACAGAGAAGCAGAGCATAAGTATACTAAAAAAGAACTTCAAGAAGCTTTGTTTGGCATCATGAATACTGCGGTAGAAAACGGATACGGCGAAATTTTTGCTTGACATGGAGAAGGTAAATACTTAGTGCCAGAAATAGATGTAGAGAAAGGTTCGACTAGTGTAGTAGGTGGTATAGTTATTAATTGTACGTCCAACAAATTATACATTGAGACTGATGGGGTCATTAAAATAAATGGCTCTGATTACTTTATAGAAGATGTCGGTAGTGACACGAAACCGTTAGAAGAGCGAGGAGGCTTTTTGATAGAGGGAGGACTTTATGCAAAAACTGCCTTAGTAAAAGTAAATAATAATAGTGAATCTGTGATGTTGGTAGGAACAAGAGAAGCACTTGCGAAGATGAAAAAAGATAACATTCTAATAGTACTTAATAAGGATGAGTGAAACAGCAGTAAACTTTTCGCCATTTTAGCGTTTAGAAAAGGTAAAGTTTACTATAGAATAGGTTTGGTTGAATTAGAAAGCGGAGGGGATAAATTAAAGGGAAATGAAGAAAGAAAGTTATCGATTGCAGCGATGAATATTGAAGAGACAGATCAACAATTAGAAACACAAATCCAAATCCCACCCAAATAGTCAAGGGGAGCCACAAACTCCCCTATCTAATAAGCATTTTACCTTTAATATTTATTAGATATTTTTAAACTAATTAAATTATACTAATCTTAAAAAACACTTGCAAAATAAAACACTTTTTCCTATTAAAAGTATTAGTTTTATTTTGGTTCAGCAAAGTATAAAAAAATCCTATTTTAATCTACTTCTTCAATAGCGGAAGAAGAAAATCCACCAGAACCACCACTATTATTGCCTCCTCCTTTTAGCCTTCCAATCTCCTGTTCTAAGGTAGCTATTCTTTCTTGGGCTCGCTCTATTCCTACCATTATATCTGACAAAAAGACTTCTTCGCCATCCGCAAGAATAAGTGATTTACGTTCCAGAGTCAATAAACTACTAAGTATGGTTCTTAAATCACTCTGCTGATCTTCTTTTAGTTGGTTAAATTTACTGAATATTTTCTCTTTTAATTCCGTTCAGATTGCTAATACTTCTTGTTTTTTTTTTTTTTTTGTGGATTAGTCATAAATATTAATAATTTTTAACTAATTTAGAACCAAATCTAATAATAAATCCTTATCCACTCACTTTCTTTTTTAAAATTAATAATATAGTAAATTACTTTATTTATCTCTTATGAACACTACTAATATCTTGTTATATAAAAAAGATTTTGGATGGGAGATTTTTTTACAAACTCTCTATAATTTTTAATAGATTTTTTTGGA